ATACCTTTATGTATTTTGTGTCTTGGCTCCTTACTTTCAATCGTCTGATCTGACACATACGGCCTCGTTTTCAAACGCGGAAGTGCACAGATCGACGCTAAAAGCCGTCGTATTGGCAAATATTAGCAAATTAGTCCTACGTGCGGTTTTTTGTTTATGGCTTCTGGTTAAATAATGACCCCAGAGGTCAAAATGAAGTGTTTACTGCGTGTCACCAGAGGCATACATCAAGCAATACAATTCAGTGAATGTTCAAAGTCTACCTTCGTTTAACGCAGTCTAGTCTCAATCCGTTAATAATTAAATCATGTTTTCAGTATCGTGTCTGGTGTCCTATTTCGTAATGCACATTCTTAACGTCAAATGTGTTCTCGGATATGCGTTAAAATGTATAACATGCTTACTTCCGGATGCGCAAGGGCGTGTGCAGCTAAATTCAATACAATAGGCCTTTTTATGCCACCACATGAAAGACTCCAAATTTCATTTCCTTTTCCTCATGTCTTCCTGTCTTCACCGGCAACCTGATTACTATTAAAGATGCCTGTGAAGACCATTCAGCAGTTGGATGAAGACAACAAGGCAACGGCCGTTGTGTACGACCACTCCAAAGCTAAACTTGTCATTAGCAAAAACAAAGTGAGGAGATGCAGAAGGGAGACATTCCTGTCAGTGCTTCCCTACTGGAGGCCTTCCTCTCACAGTCAGAATGTTGAGAGCAAATTGACATCATCACCAACTCCTCGGAAGCCTAAGCCTCGACCTGCAACACAAAGGTGAGAGATTTGTGGTGGGGATGTACATGTATACATCCTATACATGTACTTTCTTTATTATCTAACACAATAGGTGGGCCCTACACTAACCTGTGCATAAAATCTTTTCCGAGAGGTGACATTTGTGAAGAAAATGTTGGCCAATGGCCAACCGGGGCTTGGAGGATTAAAATTCGTCCATTTTTCTCCACAAAAATGGGCAAGGTTTTGATGTGAACACCCCTGTTGCACACACACCGCATGCGAGTCATCAGGAGAAGAAAAATATTCCCGGTAATTGCAGACTGATGCCAATGCTGAGAATGTTGATATTTTGCTAGCCTTAATTTGATCCCTTTTCCATAATTGAAGAGTTATTGCTGTGTGATTGCATTTGGAAAAAAAAGGAACCAAGATTGCAAAAGTGTGGCTTCAGAGTTTAAAGTGAAAGCTTCAAAATGGCATCACGGCAACAGCATCCAGAAAGCATGCATCGCATAAAAAAATTTAAATATAAATATAAATGGAAGTGCACTTTTTATTACACTTCACACAAAAGGGATGTAAAACAGTTTTCATAATTATATAAAAGAGTGTATGAGGTTAGTTTTAAAGAGTGACTGCTTGGATTCGTAAAGTGGGCGTTGAAACCTTATAAAGCGACTTTGCCACAATTATTTCTATCATCAGCATTGCGTTTGAGTAAGAGTGTGTGTGTTCTTGCGCGTTTTTTTTTTTATAGGGGTAACAGATGTAAAAATTTATCTTTGAATTCTGGTTTGTATGGTTTGATTTGTGTGTTTTGTGCCGTTCTGTTCTTTTCTCTCCTATTTTGGCTTGGCTTGACTTGCACGTCAAACGTGTTTATTAAAGGGTTCAAAAGGGTGAAATATTACTTGAACTTCAGGAAAAGTTTACCCATACGAAGAAATGAATGAGCATATAGTGGCTAATTACCTACACAAAGAAAGGATTTTGCCTATGGAGGCTATTCGAACCAAATGCACCCGCTATGTCATGTGACCTTCCATCGGTATTAAATATTAACAAACACGGCGTCCACCGAGAGCAAAGCGTTTCTTAAGTATCTTTTTGCCAAAAAAGCCGACGGTAGGTACCGTATTCAGACTACTGATTTACTCGGTACTATCACCGTAACTTGGCTGTATTGTTTGTTAGCAACACTCAAAATACGCATTGCTGTGGGGCTGATACCCAATATAGGTGCTTTAGCTGGGGCGATTGGTCTATTGGTTATCTGGTAGCCAATAATATTATAGCTGCGGTATTATTAAGTAGGTAGACCAGCTGGTGTGGTGTCGGTAAAAAACCCTGCGTGGAGGGAGTGGCCTCTCCTGTAGAGGCCACTGGAGCTAATTAAGGTGTAAAAAACTTTTTTTGTCCAAATGCCATAAACCATTTATCATATCCTACCCCTGTTCATGCTGAAAAACCTGGTTTAGTCACTTTAAAGCCAGGGCCTCCCCTATAGCCAGAAATTTTTTTTTTAAAAATCCAGCCACCCTCCAGCCAACTCCCATAAGACTGTGTGTTAAGTGGCCCCATGTGTACAATATAATGGATTATTTACAAAAACAGTGCCCGGGACAGGCAGGAATGTTTGTTATCAGTGACAGCTGTCTGGAACTTGTCAGAGGCCTGTTTTTTGGTTGGGGGTGTTGTGGTGGTGGTGGTGTGGCTTGGCTGGTGCGTGGCGAGGCCCCCCCCCAATCGGGAGGGTCCCCCACCGTACTGTGATGCACTTTTTGCGGTTATTACGAGCTATAGAGGCTAGGGGGCAACCACTGAAGTATTTAAATGTCATTAGGAAGGACTGAGGGCTCTGAAACCCGAGAAATGATACGGCCTCTCCAAACGAGCAGATCCAGCAATCGTGTGAAAATCGAAAAATAACGCGTTGCAAAGTTTTGATTTAAATCGACTAATGGTGATTGTTGTCAGTCAATGAAAGTTTATTTTGTACTAACATATACGCCTTGCAGTTGCTTCCGGCAAGGCACACATGTAGGTAAAGTTCCAGTTGCATGTAATTGTTTGGAAAATCAGAAATGATTCACCCCCTTTCTGACGACTATGTAAAATAGCAAAGGGAGTTTGCCTATTGAGATGAACTCTTTTAGATCAATGTTATGCAGGCTGCTATAAGCTAAAACAACCTGCTCAGGTGCAAAGTCTCGCCGCTCGTTTTTATTACAGTGTCGTCAGCATTGCGAAACCAAAGTTGCATGTCTGTGTCCGGACTCACCTGCCACATGGAAAGGCGACGCTAGATTTTGAACTGGATTCAGAGACATCCATCTCAGCCTTGAAAGAGATGATACACTCAAGGATCGGTGTCCAGCCTCAACGTCAACAGCTGTGCATCAGAGGAAACTTCCAGGTAATGCGCGTTCAAACTGAAACTAATCAGTAGAAAAATGAAGAATTCATCCAAACCAAGTCATAGCAAAACTGTCTCAACAATTGGTTGGGGGGACGAACGTGAGTACTAGCGAAAGATTGGTCCTACTGTATACGTTTTCATCCACTTAAGATTCAAGTTTTGCAAACCAGACAGTGAATTATTTATCAAACATCGTTTTGGACTGGTTGCTTTGTCAGCTCTGTGATTTGCTAACACTTCATGAAAATGGTATCGAAAAGGACGAAGTCATCTCATTATCGACTAATGATGCCACCCAAGATGGGCCAACAGGTAAATGCTGATGCTAATTTTATGCTAGATTCGGGTGGGAAATATGAAGACGTCTTACTGTGGGATCATTTTAGTCATTCTCATCTGAAATTGGGGATCGATGGCATGATTAGGTTTGCAATTTATCCTCGATGAAGCGGTATTGCTTTATTACCACTGATCGGAGAGGTTTTTTACAAGCAAGAGGAGACCTCTCTAAGTTTGCCTAGTCATTTGCTGAACTAGTAACACTAAACATCACATTTTAAGAGTTTTAGACAATTCCAATTGGGCAAGTTCTTCAATGAAACAAACAACTGATTAGCTTCGGGCTTATTGAACATGATGTTGCGGAGAATATCAAACGTCTTACTCAAAAATCTGGCGGGGTGAGCGGATCGATTCGTGTGATTTTCAAAAACAGTATTCTGCATGATGCTTCAACCGTGGGAAAGTTTGCTCCAAAGGTACAAAACCGTAAGTTAGACACTGTACTGCCGAACTCAGTATTTGTAAATGTGGACGGTCTTCAGTACGGTTTGTCATTAGAGTACGTCCTACGGATGGGCGTAATGATCGGGGATGAGGTGTATTATATACCAATGAAACAAATAACTGATTGTAGAACAGAGCCAGTTAGAGGGTTAGTCTTGAAATGTTTGGTAGAGAATACTGTTGGAAACTATGATATTGTTTTAAAGCATCATTTTATTACAGGGAAACCAGAAATTAATAAAGAGTACCTTGAAAACTTGTCCTCGAAGTTGGGATCATCATGGAAGGACGTGGCAAAATACCTGGGATACGAAGACTGCGAAATTGCACAAATCCAATCTACCAACGAAGGCACATCTAAAATGAGCAGCCAGATGCTACTTACTTGGTGGGAAAAGAGGACAGATCGAGACCAAGCAGCTCAGAAGTTGGCAGTAGCCCTGGATGGCATCGGGCGCACCGATTTGGTCAAAAATCCACCAAGTAAGCAAGAGCGTACTGATTGAGTTTAACTTGCTCGGGTCAATATAATGGTTGAATTCATAGGAGTATATACTGGTCACGAAAACGGTATCCAGCAATGGAATTGATGAAAGCGCCCATTGGTTATTCCCATTGCTCCCTGTTCCAGATACTTGCAGATCCACAGATGATATTGAAAGACCGCAATCAGAGAAACATGACAAGCCAATAGCAGACAAGCAGAGAGATCAAAAAGGTGCGCCAGTACCTGAGGAGCAGAAGTCGAGTAAGGAGCCAGCTCTTGACAAGGACAAACCTCAACCGTTGTGGTAAAATAAAACTGACCAAATAGTATTAGCGTTATGCGTCACTTGACTTAACTTTTGATAACACTTTTGAATGCTAAAACCTCGAGTCACATTTTTAATTTGTTAAAATTTCTTGAATGCAAAGATTTAAACAGAGATTGCTTCCATGTGCAATTATACGAAATGGCAAGAAAGAGGAACACTTTATTTTGGCAGTTTCGGATTCGTGAAACGGCATCTCCAGGTCTTGGTCAGGAACCCTTTCCTTCGTGGACCGAAGACACTCTGCTTCCACCTGGACCCAGAGACATCTGTCTCATCTCTGAAAGGGTTGATACACAGCAAAATCGGTGTCGAGCCCCGATGTCAGCATCTCTTCATCAAGAGAAATTTTCGTAGCTTTAAGGTAGGAAACTCGATAAATTTAAATCTTTTAAAACGTTAGAGTCATGGAACCATTATTATACTTACTCTCTTTTCAGCTTGTTTAGTTTTACTTCTAATGATATCTGCGTATGTGGTGTGAACTTCTAAACCACTGTCACTTTCTATATAGAAACTTCCTTTTCTGTTGCACCATTTTGTCAGCTCATAGACTTGCTTACACTCAACGACTGCGGAATTCAGCAGGACGAGAATATATTACTCCGTCTGAAAACTGATGGCCTTCTGGGTGGTGGACGAAAAGGTATTGAGAACATGAACAGATTATATGAAAAATCTGGAAAAATGTTTTAAATAAGTTACTATTGAGTGATTGTAGCAGTGTTTGCGGAGCAAAAGTTACAAGAAATTTGTATAAATACTAGCGATGGGAGATGCTGTTTTACAAGGTAGCTGCATGGGTTCTTAACTTCCTTGTCCACGAACCGTCGACTGAAGCATAAAAACTAAGAACTAAATGTTGGATATGAGCACACAGAATACGCAAAAGTTCCTGATGCTGAAAAAATTACCAAATGTCTTAACCCTCAAAGAGCCGGGTTTTTTGCCTTGTCACAGCCGGGGGGGGGGAGAATCTGCCCCCTCTCAGATCTCGGCCATACGATGATGTATTTCAATGAAATTTTGTTACAAGATGTGTCACTCCCCCTCCCTCCCCCGCCCCCTCCCCTCGCCCCTCTCTCTCCCTCTCTCTTTGTCTTTCACCGTAACTTTAACTTTCACTGTCAACTAAAAAACACAGTTTTTCCTATATATAATACAGTGATACTGACATAATGGGTTCACTTTTGATTTTGGCAGATGAAGCCCAGGTTAATGATCAATTTCTTCGAGATGTGTCCCTCAAGGTTCATCATTCCTGGGACAAACTCGCGGAATGCCTGGGATATGAAAAAGTAGGAATCCAGCAAATCCAAGCGATCTCCGAAGACGACAAAGAACGCAGTAAACAGATGTTACTTTCGTGGTGGAGAAAACAGACAAATCATGAGGAAGGTCTTAAAAGGCTCCGAGAAGCCTTGGAAAGCGTTGGGTTAACTGAACTTGCCTCATTGGTACCAAGTGAGCCAAATATGAATTTAACTTTAAAAATTCATATATAAGAGAACTTCTACATTTAGCATAGACAACATCATGCATAAGCTAATACCATCCATTGGTTTGGCATTAGGTGTATCTTAGATGCAGATGATGATAAATGACGATAAATGTAAACGGACCATTTCAAATGGTTCCAATTTCAACCTATATAAAACATCAGTAATCTTGAGTTGACACTGGCTTACAATCGAAAGAGACTGCACTGTTCATTGAAGTGCCTCGCAAAAATGTACAGGTATAACTTTTCTCTATTCAGATGCATTCCAAGAGGAGGTCTCACAGGAAGGGTCAACAAAATCAAATGAGGATGAGAGACTGAAACAAGAGCAGGTTGGTATTCCGGACAGAACTCAACCGAAGCGACAGGAACACGCAGGGACACAAGAGCGTGTTACGCAAAAAGGGGCGTCCTCAGTAGAACAAAGACTGGAACAAGAGCAAGGTGGCGATGGAGATGAGACTCCGCCACAGAAGCAGCAAATGGCACAGGAAATACGTCACAGCTCGCAAAAGGTAATCACATCTTCAAAAGCGCAGGAATTTGGGCAGGCGCAGTCTGGACTTTCAATGGCACATCACTCAATTGATAAACAGCGAGCACCATCGCCGGTCGAAAACGACCATATGGCGTTGAAAAGGGTGATGGCTTCACCTGAGGAACGCGTAGTTAAAGAGGCCAGACAACAGACAACAGGAAAAACGCTGTCAGACGATGTACGAAGAAGTCAGGTAGAGTCGCTGCGAACGGAAACAATCACAGAAGTATCACAGGACTGGCAGATAATGCAAGTTCCTAGCTCATTTCCGGAATTTGCTCCTTCCGTGCCTCAAATCGGAGCATCGTCTGCCTTGTCTGCTGTACATGACCATATATATCATCGTCCGGTGTCCGTGGGTGCTATCGATGTCTCCGGCGAAAATAATACTACCTTCTTCGGACCGATTTATCAACCGACCATGAACATCGTTCAAAATGTGATGGCGACTGGGAGTACTTCGGGTAAATAATTACACATCTTAAAATTTCCAATACAGGAATCAAACAAGTTGTCTGACAATTCCTTTTTTTTTTAGAAAATAATAAGTCCACGAATGCCATCGAGAAATGCCATACAAAAATAGGTTTACTGAGAATTATTATACTGTACTATAGCAAGGATTGTCGAAGGGAATGTGACCATTGAGTACTTCACTGTACATGTACTTGTATTTGGGGGATTAATGCATGTATATGAAACACTTTGAGGTTGTGTGAAGAACGGCTAAATGGATTGAAAGGATGACATTAAAGAAAAGACTCCATTCTGCATAACCATCAAGAAATCATTCAAATAGACGTATTTCTAAGGGAAAATGTTACTACCCCACTTTTGCATAATCGTCGCTGCTTAACACACCATGGTGATATTTTTAACAGGTGAGACGAACAGTGCTGCAAACAGAGCGAAAGAAGCTGCCAGTCAGTGCAGAAAAGAATTGGAAGAGAGGTACACGACCACCGGTAGCTATGTGCAGCTACTCCCATGGGTCGATGATGACATGAAACACATCAAAGATATGTACACAAAGTTACAGTTCAAACTGGATAAGGAGGGTGGCATTAAAGGAGGTGTTGAAACATATCACGATATTTTCCTCATAACAACAAAAGAGGGGCGAGTGATTAAACGCGCCATTTTGTGCGGTTCAGCCGGTCTAGGGAAGTCCACTATTATTGACAATATTGCACATGATTGGGCTGTTGGTAATGTTGAAGTACTAAGACAGTTTGCACTGGTATTTGTTTTGAAAATGTCTGCGCTGAATCAGACGTCTGATCTTGTGGACTCTGTGTTTGATCAGCTTTTGGCCAAAGACTCGGTCGTCAACAGGTCTGATTTGAAAGACTTCATTCACAGTCACAAAACGTCTTCGGGTGTGCTTGTTCTCCTTGATGGCTTTGATGAGTTTCAGACAACAAATCTGGACCCAACTACATTCGGTTCTGTTCTAGAAATGCTTAACCGAAAAGTTGGCCGAGATTGGTTTGTAATTGTAACAACACGCCCCTCTCACTTGAGTACTTTGAGAAGCAAATCAATCGTTGAAAAACCTTTTACCCATGTGGATGTTCTGGGATTTGATCGGGAAAATGTTTGGCAGTATGTAAAGCTTTTTTTTCTAGAGAAGTTTGACGATGATGATGCTCTTCTTGATAGGATGGAGACTGCTGGAAGTCTTCTTTGTAAGATTCAATCCTCAAATGTTCTTTCTGATTTGGCAAAGAGGCCAATGCTGTTACTGCTGATGTGTTTATTGTGGAGGGACGAGGCACAACTACCAGATACCCTATCAAAACTGTACAGGAAGGCAATGACATATATATTTCGAAGAAAGACGCCGCATATTTCAGACAATGCCATATCAGAATTAATAATTGCGATCGGCAAACCTGCTGTAGAAGGGCTTATTTCTCCTAAACAAAGACTTTCTTTCCATGAAAGAGAGTTTGAAAAGAGTGTGTTACACAAGGCTGTACAAGTGGGTATTCTCACCAGCCAGAGGGTCATTAAGTGGTCTGACACTCACAATAGTGTGCAGTTTATCCATAAGACATTTCAAGAGTGCTGTGCAGCTAGATACTGTCAAAGTCTAATTGGAAGGGAAGACGTGGAACTTCAGAGGATTCTTGATGAAATTGACAACCCTCAAGCTTTTGAGTACATGTTGCGTTTTTGCTGCGGCGACAGTGAGCAATGTGCACGGTATATTCTGAACGCGCTTTGTAAGAATCCATATACCACAGAAGTGTGCCAACTGGGCCTAAATTGCTGCTTCGAGAGTCAGTCAAGGTTACTGGCAGTTGAATATGCCGAGTTGTTCGTTACCAAACAAGTAGAGTACACCATGTACGGAAACACTGACACACTGAACTCTTTCTTGTGGTTTTTGGAACAGGTTTCCAAACCCGTCAACCAAAGTGATCGCCTAGCGTGCGTCCGCACGTTAACGATTAGAGACTATAATCTGACAGAGGTTTGTGAAGTCTTAGCTTCCTGTTTCACAGGAATGACTCACCTGAAATCACTCACTCTCGAGTCATGTGACATAAATGCCCAAAATTTCACACACCTTGCAAGATCTCTGGTTGGGATGGCAGACGTAACCAAACTTGACTTTTCAGGCAACGGGGAATTGGGTGGAAGTGCAAAAACGTGGGCTCATTATTTGAAATCCCTTGAAAGCATCGAGAAACTCAATTTGAGTGAATGCAGCCTGCAAGCCCGAGATATGAAATACATTGCAACAGCAGTTAGAGAAATGGTTAACTTGACTCGCCTTGACCTTTCAAACAACGAAAGTTTGAGTGGTTGCGCAAAAATTTGGGTGGGTAGTTTGAAAAGTATGATTTACTTAAAGAAACTAAAAATGAACAGATGTCGCATAACACGTCACGATGTCAGACACGTTGTTGAAGCAATCAGTGGAATGAGCAATACAAAGAATTTTCATTTTGATTGTACTGAGGTGGACATCAATATTTCGTTGATGAAGAGTGGGTGCGCGATCATCGAAAAGTTGTCCATAGCACAAAAACACCTACAAGTGACTGATATTAAACAACTTGGTGAACTGAGTTTGGTGCAAAGTTTGAAAGAGCTCAGTCTGATAGGAATTCAGTCGCTGGGAGGCTTTGCAGAAACATGGGCTCCTCAATTGCTACTTGTAAAGCTGATAACCCTTGATCGGTTACATCTCGAAGACTGCTCTCTACAAGTGACAGATATTCAACATCTTGCTGATGAACTGGGCCAAATGCCAGGCTTGAAAGAGCTCAGTCTGAAAGGAAACCGGTCCTTGGGAGGTTCTGCAGAAAGTTGGGCTCCTCAACTGCAGCGCCTAAAAAATCTTGAAAAACTGAAGTTGACTTCGACGGCATTAAAAGGACAGGATATGCCTCACCTTACGTCGTCAGTGGCAAAGATGGAAAATGTAACCAATCTTGACCTATCACAAAATGAGGAGTTGGGTGGCTGTGTGGACACATGGGCCGGTAGTTTAAAGAGCATGACTCACCTGAAGAGTCTGGATATGCAAAATTGCCTTCAAGGAATCAATGATGTCGTGCATGTAACCGAAGCGATTAGTTGCATGAGTAACTTGCTGGCTTGTCATGTCAGTCAGGACTATCGGTTGATTGTACTGCATGTTTGGCCATTGGAAAGTTACACGCGCGTGGATTTTGATGCAAGGTTCTTGCCTGACATAACTGTTAAAGATATGTTACTGTCATTGAGCAATCGGAATGATGTAGTCAATTTGATTATTAACATTGACTTTATTTTGGGTCGTGGTGATTTATGGATGCTACCCTTAAAACAGCTGGAGCACCTTGCGGAATTGAAAATCTTTACTTGTTCCCTCGAAGGCACAGATGTTGAGATCCTAGCTGCAGCAGTGGGAAAGATGGCAACTTTGGAAAAACTCAGTTTGAATGCAGAAAGCGGTCTGGGGGGATCTGCAAACATTTGGGCTTCAAGTCTGACACAAATGGAACATGTGAAGTGCTTGAGTTTGGTCAATTGTGATCTTGAAGACACAGACATTGAACCCCTTGCTAAAGCGCTCAGTCAAATACCAAAGCTGACTGAGCTCAGTCTGGAAGGAAATCAGTCGTTAGGGGGCTCTGCAGAAACATGGGTTCCTCACTTGGAATGCTTGAAAAACCTGAGGAAACTCAATTTGACTTCAACTGCAATTAACGCACAAGACATGCCTCACATTACGTCGTCGGTGGGAGAGATGCCAGCCTTGACCGATCTTGACATTTCAGGGAACCAAGACCTGAAAGATCATATAGACACCTGGGCTGCGAGTTTAACGAGCATGATTCACCTCAAGAAACTAATTGTGAATTATTTTAGCATGGGAAGTCATGACGGCAAGTATCTGGTTGAAGCAATTAGTTCCATGAATAATCTAGTGGATTGTGATTTTAGTGGCGGAGGCAGCAAGCTGCATGTTTGTTCCGTGGGTAATTGCATACGCATGAGCATTAGGACGTGGTCATTAACCGGCAACGACGGAAGAGATGTTTTACACTCACTGAACAAACGGAGAGACTTGGTCAGTTTGGTTCTCAGCGATGTTCGTTTTAAGAATGTTTCCGCAGCCTGGACCCCATCCTTAAAGGAATTAACGCATCTCGAGGAGTTAGTTCTCAATGACTGCTTTCTGGACAGCACCGACATAGAACCCCTTGCCTCAGCAGTGGGTCAAATGCCAAATTTGAAAAGGCTCAGTCTGAAAGGAAACCGATCACTGGGAGGCCGTGCGAAAACATGGGCTCCCAGCTTAAAACAGATGGCAGGAGTAGTTAGCCTGAATTTGAGTCGTTGTGGATTGCGATTCACGGATGTTGCACATCTAGCTACAGGACTGAGTCAAATACCAACTCTGGAAGAGCTCTGTCTAAAAGGAAATCGGTATATAGGGGGTTCTGGTAAAGCATGGGCTCCTAGTCTTAAAGAAATGGCACAACTTGTTCGCCTGAATTTGGGCAGGTGTGGACTACGATTCAAGGACTTCGAGCAACTTGCTGCAGTAGTGACTGAAATGCAAACTTTGCAAGAGCTCAACCTTACCGAGAATCGATTTTTAAGTCACTGTGTAAACGACTTGGCTCCTTGTTTAAAGCAAATGGAACATGTTCACTTGCTGAAACTGGGAGGCTGCTCACTGACAGAAACAGATCTGGAACATATTGCCGAAGTGTGGGGAAAAGAAGTTGATCTTGAGGCCGATGACCAGTCGAATGACGAGTCTGATGACGAGACGTGGTCTTAAGACTCTCGTTCAGGAAGATTCCCAAGTCATAGATCTTTCCTGTAGATTTCTGCGTCGTCCAGGATTCACAGCCCTTTACTGTATTCTTTGATAAGCTGGATCGGTTCATGATACTTAGAGTCAAGAGCGCACGAGACGAGACCAAATAAGTTTCCAACTACCACGCCACGTGAAGGAACCTACGACACGCAGGAAAACCAAGACAAAACGAAATTACCTTAAGCACCAAGGGAGATAATGTCTGCTTATAGTACATCTTACACGAACGGGGGTATCGCGATCCTGCTATATCCATATCAATTTGTTCAAATGTTGGGGAGGCAGTGCTTGTTTCTATTGAAATTCTGTGGAAAACCTTTTTTTTTTTTAGCTTTTAACACATTCATGTTTATATATCCTGGATTGTATATTGTTTTATGTATATTGTAATGTAAGTTTTGACGACATACAGAGATCTACTAGATTTGATATAAGCTTACGATTTGAAGGTGTTCGTATCCTGACGAAAATCAACAATATTTATCCTGAACAGTGGTTGGTACTGACAACTGACCCTATTTCTACGTATCTTTTCTTGAGAGAAAGGGGTTCTAGGCTAAGATCATCCCATTGCAACTTGATGAAATGTAATTTGTTGACGGTACTGTTTGGAATTGAATTTCATGCCGTTATATCTAACCCCTAAAAAAGCCAGGGGGGGGGTAACACCCCCACCCCCCATTTTTCCCGACACCATTGTAATGCATTTTTCAGGAGTTGAGCCTGGAAGAGATTTTAGAATAAATTCTGCTTTTCACAAAATTTGTGTCAAATGATAAAAGTTATTTGAAAAAAATTTTTTTAAAAAGAAAAATACCGTTCTCGCGCAGCGCCCATTGTGCCGAGGCAGGTCAGCCCAAAACGTATACTTTTCAATGCGGTGCTCAATGCTTGCAAGCTGGCACGCATGTAGTCTTGACATTCAAATGACCTAACAACAGTACTACATTTTTGACTGAGTTCAAACTTCACATTAATAAGGCGTGTCTTTACATGCATGCCAAGTTTCCTAAAGATCGAGTATGACACACCCATTTTCTTGTTGGTTGAGTCCACCCCTGGCTGTGAAATAGGCCAAAATTTTCCGGATCTTTGAGGGTTGATATTTTACGGTTTTTGATCGTATACAGTGAGTGACTAGTTTCTCATACTGATCTCATTTTTATTTAAATATGATTTCAAATGAGCTTTAAGCGCCTCCAAGAGTTTGCAACGTGTTGACCAATCACAAGGTGCGAAATCTGTCGACCTTTTCCAAACACGGATTGGGTCATCGACAAATTTCGCACATTGTGATTGGTCAACGCGTTGCAAACTGTTGGAGGTGCACTATTGTGAAACTCCGTATTGCCTGACCATTATCCACTGCAATTGTTTATGAAGAAAAAAATTCTTGAAGGTTAAATCGAAAGATTTAAGCCAATTCTTATTTGTGTGCATATTGAGTTGAGGCACACAGTTTACAAGTTTATATCGATGTCAGTTGGAAAAGTTTTAAAGACGCCACAGAAATATCTACGTCAAAAACTCTGATCTCTGTAAGGATGAGAAGCCATGAACAACATTAAAGTGCTTTCAAAAGTCAAAAAAATGTTATACATGTACTTTTGATTTGATTGGTAGACGTAGGCCTATGCATAATACCTATTGACTTTATTTGCCAAAAAACCATTCTGCAAGAAAATCACAAGTTGATGCAACGTGAACTATAAGAAACGATTTGCATATATTATATATGTTCATTAATTTATTACAAATAAATTTGTTCCCATGACAGAAAAACATTCTTTTTGTCGTACAATGATCGTATTCTCCGTTGTGAATTTCCGAGGGAGTCGTTTGCCGCCGATGAACGATAGTGCAAACGCGAAAAATGACGAAGTATTGTGGTCCCGAATAGAACCCCTGTGTAAACCATCAGGTGTATTGATTTGGCCAGAACCTGCCAAGTACTCGAGAGCGGTAAGACTGATGTCAAACCTTACACTTCTGGCTCATTGTCATGTCAAAATTCTACTGACGAAATTCGTGGGAGTAGATGGGCAGTGGCGTAAATTGTACAGGAGATTAGGGGGTAGGAAATTTGTTGGCTAGAAAATTGAAAAGCCAGGAGGTTGACACCATATGATTCTACAGAGGGGGCAATGTTCATAATACAAATTATGTGTATTACTGTACATTCCTGCAGAATATTTTACATCAGAACGGCATATTTGCTGCATCTTTATTCTCCTCCCTTTTTATTGGGCGGAGGGTAATGACTCAAGAGCCCACCTCCCCTGGTCAAAAAATTGTGGGGGGGATATGTATTCCCAGGTTACGCCCATGTACATGGGTCATACAAACCTTGTTCATGGTTGAAATTGACAAACTAGTTCATTGGCAGTTCCCATGAAACGCTTCCTTAATTATTCCAACTTATCCACAGACATACTAGTCTCGCTCATCCTCAAAGGACTTGATATATAAACAACCTAATTAGTTTACAGGCCGAATGTAAGAATCTGAACATTTTTTGGGGGGGGGATTTTCTAAGTTTAATTGCTCATTCTTCTAGTTGGCTTTGAAGAATTGCAGAATGCTGGTTACATTAATGCAAATGATTTTACATGTATTGTCACACCAGTGGTAAAGAAATCAGAGTAATCAGACTGATGTATCTCAACTCTTCCAGAAACTGGGAGTTTAATGGCAGTGCAAAAGTGTCGGCTCCTCAGTTGACAAACCTTGAGAAACTCAGTTTGATTAATGTGACATAAAGACACGTAATATAGCGCTCACTGCACGCATTAAACTCCACAAAAGCCAAGAATGCCAAGCAAAGTACTTTCATTGTTGAGTGGGATAAGTTTGAGGATTTAAATTTTGGGCAAAAACCTTCATTTGAAAACAATTCACAGTCTGACAAAAAGGACAAAATCGGTGTACAGTATTCAAATGCCCTTCTAAAATTTTCAAATTCCAGACCTTTGTTTACGAAGTGTGTCGCAACTAAAAGTAGTCCCACTCTCTTAGCAATATTGTGAATGTACTCTAAACGTGGTGCAATCCCTAATGTGGCCACTTTGATTGTTTTCCACAGGTGCCCTTGCTAATTATGCAACAGAATGTAATGACCAGAATGAAAAAGAAGTTTTTACCAAAGAGGTTTCGCAACATACATGGACCGTTGAGACCGTATCTAAGTATGCCAAAAGCGTTAGGCCTATGGGCCTATTCTCAACGTTCTCAACCAGTGATTGTAATTGTACGACGATTTTAAGGGGTGTCTGTTTTCCTTTATTCAAAATAAACTCTTTTTTAAAACATGACTCAGCATGGAACCTGTTCAAAAGAAAATCGATCGCTATTGACGAAGACACGGTCATTGCCGTATCACAGCAAAAGAAGCCTTGGTTGTAAGCAGAAAAGGCGTATTCGGGGTACAAGACAAAATGCACAAAATTGTCCTCAACCTACCAATAACGTATCCTTAGTTAAAGTTCAAAACACAGGCAACATGAGCCCGAGCTGCACCGCGAGGGGGCGTGGCACAGGCTCATTTGGTAGGAAATTCCCACCAACCTGGCTCTTTTCAACCGATGAATACACTGAGTAATGAGTGCCATTCCTTGCTTCCTATAAGTTTCAAAAATAGGGCATGGAATTGTGGAATACCCCTTCAGCGCTTCTGAAATGCTCCAAAATAACCCTCTCCTTTAAGTATTCAGATCATTATTATTTGAAGAGGCTTCCCTGTGCTATTGGATTTAATGGTTATGATTACTCGATGTAATATAATGGTCGTGATTAAATATTAAATCAATCATGTAACCGAAAGACTTATCTTTTCGGTTGACTTCATAGAGCTATAACAACGAGAGCGCTTACTGATATACAAAGTGATGGCTGCAGGGCGCATTCATGTCTGTGCGCAAACCTAAAAACTCAGTTTTGTACGGTTTCTGCCTCAACCAAGCCGATACACAATAAAACTAAACGCACAATCAGTAAATGAGCGTTTCATTTTGCATGCCCTGCTCTAACAATGCAGACGCGTGCGCATATGCACTGCAGATGAATTTTACCGTGACGTTTTGCCAGGGGCGGCGTCAAATTTTCTCCACGCGGAGAATGAGAAGTTAAAGTTGCTTTGTAGTAATTTAAACAGCTCAAGTGGTTGAATTTTATTACGACTTATTTTCAAGTAATTTTGGCACTTACACAATCTTTATTCTTGAAATCTTCTGGGCAGCCAACCAAAAAGGAGAGACAAAAATAACACAAAATTCTTTTGATACTAACCTTCGGCGAGACATAATGTATCGGTTTATTTCTGACAATGATGGATCTAACCAATCAAACTTTGCCTTTTTAATGAGATGGCGCGGCAATAAATATGCAACGCCCCCAGCACTGGCGTATTCCTCTCCACCATAGTCGGTCATATCATTAGCACATAACTGGCAGTGCTCTTTGTCGTGTTCACCCTTCTGTCGTCAACTGTCATCGCGGTGACCGAGTCAGAGATGCTGGTGCCGGTCTTGTTCTTGCTGTCTCTGGCCGGCAGCTTCGGCCGGGCTGTCGGCGACAGCAACGTCACCAAGCTTCACCTCCTCGGCCTCTTCCCGATGTCCGGTCCCTGGTCGGGTGGTAAAGTTTGCCTGTTGTCTAGCCAACTCGCCGCCAAACACATCAACGCTAACCGCGACATACTACCGGGCTACGA